AGTCTTCGCAGCACCAAATTGGTTTGCAAAAAAAGTTCGGAATGGCAGAAGCCATTCCTTCCCTTGCTAGTTTGCGTCACATCTTGATGAATTATTAGCAGCTGATACCATCCCCCCCCCTCCGCTCATTTAACAGAACTCTCGCAGCACATCTCCTTCCCCCCTCCCCTCTCCCAAAATAATATCTGGAATCACCACTGCAACAAGACGGTCATGATGATGTATAGTTCCCTGCCTCATATTCATAAATTCCAAATATCTGTGAAGATGTCAAAAGTTTTGAGAATTTCCCGACGATGAAGTGAAAAATTTTTACACTGTGAATCGAGCTAATCTAAAGTCTTGATTGATCTTTGACTCTAGCATTCTGATGAAAGAACGATATTATCAGCACTGCAGAGTGTGAATATAAGTGTCTGCAGACATAAATTCATCATAGGTAATCATCGAGCAACAATTTGTGACAGAAACTGGCAGCTGACGTGAATTTCGAAACAACGCATGGTGTCAAGAAATCATCGCTGATGACTGTACCCAGAGTTTTTCTTCTTATAAACACACTTTTTTCAGCTCTTAAGTGAGACAATCGCTCTGAGACACCGCAAAAAGTGACAGAATTGTTTGTGCTGTTTCGCGTATTGTGCCCTCTTTTGGTCTGATGACGTACTTGTGCTGGCCTTCATGAACAAATTTAGATAATCGCTTACATACCAGAAGTTGCTTTTATCGTAAACAGAGGTTTTTTTCATGTTCTACTCCTTTGCAGGAGCAAAGCTTCATTAAGTAGTTATGCTCAACTGATTTTGCAAATGTTTTTTGAACGGAGAAGCATTCAGACGACTCTATCGATATAGTAGAAGCCTTTACCAAGCCAACCACTCTCACTTTGGCCAACACCGCCCACTTCGAGGACAACTTCTCCCTGGTAGTATTCAAAGCATTCTATATCTCCAAGAAGACTCGTGATTCTTTGACGCGTCTATCAAGGGTCTATAGACCCGTATACGGGCTGCAAATCGACACGCTAGGTGGAATGTCCTTGCCGACCACGCCCCTCTCTGACAACCCCGCCCCTCTGCCCTCTACATACTTCTTTTTCATGCATAAAGTGCATGAGGAGTTGACCGCGAAGCTTGATAACCGTATAATAGGTCACCCATCTTCATTATGGCAAACTCCGCCCACTGGGCAGCTCCTCCTACATATACTGTAAAAAGCATTTTTGTCTCCTCTTTTCTAACATGCTTGGTTTTTTTTTCGAAAATTAACTTATGCTGTCAGTTGTGAAAATTTTGTTTGGAGCTTAGTTTGTTTTTAAATATAGGATGTTTGCAGAATTGTTAATGGAGTTACCTAAGAATATCCTCACATTTGATTTTTCCATATGCGTTATAGGGATAAAACGAAGAAGGTTGATCTACATTTTTTAAATTCATACGTTCACGGAATATTGTCATAGATAAAGAGAATTGGTGGAGGGAACAAATAATGGAAAAGTTGTTGTATAATGAAAAGCCACCTTTTCGCAGATCCCTGGGTTCCATATTTTCGAGCCTTCTCTGTCACCGAACTGCCTCGGACAACAGTTATAACTAGTTGCAAGTCATCCATCAGAGCAGTAAAGTATTCTCAGTAACCCAATAAGGCTGGTTTCTCGCTTAGACCGACCGGATCGTGCAAGGTTGCGATGTTGTTGTTGTCCATCATAACCCGGGTTGGAATCTTTTTCTACTCAGCTACTTGTTTTTTTCTTCAGGAAATGCAAACATCCGGAGAATCTCTTGCTGACCTGAGTGTTATCTATTCATAGGTCTATCTTCCGATTGCTCAGTGCAGTTACTAAAAACAGTTCTTTCTTCCGCGAAAGCATTCCGTTTCGTTCAAATAAGCAAATTTTTTGCCACCCTAACAAGACCATTCCTTATGTCCTTTGCAAAACAATATCATCCACTGTTTTTCCGTTCTATACAAGTGCTGATCGTATAATCGTATTCGACATGTACGCTCATCGCTGCGCCGAAACAAAAATGACTATTTTGAGGATCACATAACCGTTTCAAAGACGCCTATTTTCAAAAATATGCGGATTGATACAATATGCGTAAGATAAGCGCATGGGTCACAGTTTGATCTCTTTTTTTCGTTCGAAATCTTTTTATAAATTTTGGAAGTCTAATCCCAGCATGACAGGCACATCGACATTTCTGCTGTTTACACTGCTGTTTTCTTTTTTCTGCTCATTTCATTGCCATTTCAATCGGATTTCATGCTTATGGTTTGATCAGAGAAGTACCATTGAACAGCGTACAATCCTATCGCATCAAGATTCTCTTTTTTATGACATTTTCTAATGTTTTCACAGTAGTACAAATTGATTCAGGTTAATTTTTTTTTACATGATCGTTGCATTTCAAAGCATTATACTTATGGATATCTATTGATATGTATAAGAAATTTGTATGGGAAAAAACAGATCCTGCTACACGTTTGTTTCAGCCACAAAAGATTACTCACCGTATAGCACTGCGGTTTATTCTGTTTCAAAAAATTCTTGGTTCACGTCTGGTAAGTTTACGGTGAATGACGGTGAATTTTTGCTGAAACAGCTCGCCGTTTTTCACAATGCCTGCTTTCGAATATTACCGTATATTCTAAAATAGCGTTGGAGGCTGTTTTTAGAGCTCGCGGTAATTCTAGAATTTCGTTCCGGAACCACAGGTCTGCTTGCAACAGGTCGAGGCAAAAAATGCTGTTGTGCAAGTTTTTACTTTGAAAGCCTATAAATTCGTTAGAATTAGGCTTTCTAAATTCAGTAAGCTACATATAGCTTAGTATCTTTGCAAAGCAACTGCTTTGCTTCTGTTAATTTTCCCAGTGATATTCACAAGCAACTCAACTACAATAGGCTGAAAATCAATAAGAACACTTTTTTGCGAAGCGATTATCAGGTTATTACTAATTAATTACACGAGATTTTGAAGTAACAGTGAACTGCTCTTTCAATAGCTAAAGACCAGCACATGCCTATTAGCGGAATTACCACAAAAATAATTTAAAAAAATTTGGTATTGAGGGTAGAATTATTATCTTCTTTCCTGCACTTGATGAATCTTGTTCTCCTACTCGTAAATTATGGTTTATCTTTATTCATTAAGAAGCGAAGAATTATCGAAAACTTGAATGCTCCATTCCGAGTTCGAAAGCTGTTGCTGTACAAAATCCTGCCTCCTCAGTTTCAAGGATTATTAAGAGATTGTCGGAATACACACCATGTAGAAACTTTTTGCCAATGGCCATTTTTGGAATGCTTCAAGTTTTTATATGTTATGTCTAGGCCAAGATAGCGGAGGATAGCAAAATTTCGTATTAGCTCACTGTTTGAAAATTCGAATTCTGGTAAAGCTAAGGGCAAAAAAATATATATATATACAGGAGAAGCAAGAAAGAAGCACCAAAGTACTTTGGACTTTCGGAAAAAAAGGGATTATCCTGAAAAAAATTCGATTCGGGAAGCACGCGCCTCAAATGTGCCTATAAAAATATTTTCAAAAAAAATCGACGTTTTGACTGACAGATTTCATCTTGCTTATGGGATTAATATAGGGTATTACATTTCACACTTTACAGTTCTATGTAGCTAATCAATCTTTTTTATCTCTCTTTTTTGTAAGCCTAAGCCTACACTTTTTCATCATTTATGGACAGCCTGATCTTACTTTTTACCATCTTTTGGTCACATGTCGAAAAATAAAGCGAACCAGTTGAGCACTTTTTATTGACTTCTTATCGATGTAAAAATTGTGCGTGGTTTTTTGAATTTGTTCAGACCTCAGTGCTTTTTTGGTACAAAAAATATTGAAAAATCACTTGTATCACTATTTGTCTTGGTGTGTCCTAATTACAGGCTTCCTATGAATGATCATTTATGTATACTACTTAATCTAACAACTTATTTTTACACTTATAACAATAGCTTTTCACATGTGCTATCTTTTATGCTTTCTGCTTACTCTCAGTGCTGAAATTGAACAGAAGTCAAATAGTCTCTGCTCCCTTGGCGTAAACCTTGTTTAATGACTCTAAGAAGATTATGTACCATATCATTCAACGGACGTGCAGTTCTTATTATCATTGTTTAGAACTGTTTCACTGTAATTTCCGAATTCGCTCTTACAGTTTGAGAGATAATTTTGAGAAACTTTGAGCTGTTTTGAATTCATAGCCAGAACTTGTTTTCTTTTCAATATTTAGACCTGAGCTTGGCAGTGGTTTGTTAGAACCAAGTGGAAATTGAGACTATGTACCGTAGAGTTTACTTATGAAAATCATCACTGTCGAGTCTCTGCAAAATGTGTTGTCGGTATTGCCATAGTGACTTAGTAAATATTGTTCTTATGAGCATATTACCGTAATTGATAAAGGTTTCGTAAACTTTCATTAACAGGGTTTTCACTGATCATTCTCGTACTCTTCTTCACCCTGCAAGAAGAGAGGCGTCTGTAATGTTTTTCGACTTCAACATCCACTCCTATTGACATACATCGACTCGAAGTCATATAGTTTTCATTATCTATCCTGCAAATTGACTGATTTTTATCGAGAAATTGTTGAAGTCAGCCGGGAGCAAAGACGTAAAAAAGACTAGAACCTGCTTGATGGCTTGTTTAGCATACTAACAAGGTGGAAGCGCAAACAAATTTAGACAATAAAATTTCTGGACTTTTGACTTGGCATAGATGCAGTGCATCTATAGTCATTTTCTACCTCTTCATGTAGGTGTACTCTGAAACTATGAACAACTAGAGCGATTGGAAATGCGAATCAAATTTACACCTAATACATCTTCTTTTACTTATGCCAAGAAGAATTTTTGAAATATGTCACTGTGTCTCAAACGATCGCTCTTTTTGAACTTTCATTCCCTTTTTTTGTCTTGCATAATTCTTGATGATGTCGCTGATAAAAGCTTCGAATTCTCATCCTCATCTTGTCATACTTTCAGAAAATGGTACAACGAATTGCGCGGACACATAACGTGCCGCGCATCTACACCCTCGTCCATGACTCGTGAGTTCTTCATAATTTTGCTTCAGAAAATTGCTTACAGAGATGAGCAGGGCTGGTATATGTACTGTGATAGTTTTTCGTCTGTGACCATGTAGTTTTGCCTTAACTAATACTATGACTGACTATTTGATTTGATCTGATTTTCCGCCAAATTGCATGATTCCCACTGAAGAAAAGTTTGGCCGCATGAAAGACAACTTTTGCAAGCAATAAATTTGAAGCCATCTTTTTCCATGTGGCTGTAATCCTGAACATACTCCTCTACATTTTCTTTCGGGCCTTCTAAAAAATTCAGGGATAATACTGAATACCGAATTACTTCATGATCGATCTGTCGAGGATTCACTTAGTTGTATATATTTTGAATTGAGACTGAGGAGTTTTCTAATCTTCATTTTTTGATATGCACTTTTATGATCTGAACCAAAATGACTCAAAAAAATATTGGAAAACACTAATATCATCCATACATCGTACTGATTCCAACATTGTTCTGTATGATTGATGCATTTTCAGGCCTTACCCCACACATGAGATCTCGGATCATGTCTACGATGAGCTGAAGAAGGTTCTAATCCTTGCCGGAGCCTTCTTCTTTATCACCATCGTGTGTATCATGTCAAAGTTGCAGGTACCATACTTTTCCTTGAATAAAAATTCGACTTTTGTTGTGCAAGAACTGTTTCAAAATATTCCCCCTTGCCTTTCGTTTTTCTCCGAAGTTTGTTTCTTTGTTAGCCTTGGTGGTGGCATTTGCTTCCTTGTTCTGCCATTGGTCGCCATTTCAATGCCACAATCAGCCGAATTGAGCTGGGATGAGGCAACGTATACATCTTAATGGAAACTCTTACTTGACAAGGACTGCCTTACTTTTTGTTTTCTCTTCATTCTATCCTCTCAGGTTTTGCTTGGACTCATGGAAAATTTTGGAATTCTCAAAAATCTCAACATCCACGGGGAAGATGAGTCCATCATGCACGAGAGAATTTGAAATTGTTAGTAATACATTTCTGGCATGTTGCTTTGGCCCAGTAGCAGCAGAATCTATCCCCTTCGCTTCATTACTTTCTTAGAGATAACCTTCTCTTACCCCGCATTCCTCTGGAGAGTCAGTCTGCGTGAGTCTTAATCATACGCATAATTTCAGCTCCATAAAAGTCACCTACTCACTGCCATTAAGTGGAGTGTGTGTGGAGTTTATAGGCCAAGTATGAGCCGGACCCAGATCTCACTTCAACCATGGAGAAACTTTTCAAGCTTGATCTTCTACATAGACCTTGTTTGGCTTAATATAGCTTCTGATTTCTTTTGCGAAATTTCGAATATAGCATGTAGCATCTTTTGCGCAGAAATGCATTGATGCGATGACAACGGCCACTTTTTAACTCATGACTGCCTATTTGTTGACACGCACAATACAGCAAACGCCAGACTGATTTGAAATGTGAGAAAAAATTCTCTGAGATTTTCTCAGAGTAGTTTGAATTTTTTCGCATCGGTACCCGTTTGCTAAGAACGAGCCGTTTCCTTTGCATAATCTTTGCAGTTTATTACTGGTAGCCTGTTATTTAATCCAATCCACACAGCTTGATGTCCGACTATTTTTTTCAAAGATCAATTGCAATTTGTGAACATCTTTGCTTGTGTTAGCAGAAAATGATTACAGCTCAAAGAAGTGGGGTGCATGGGACAGACGAGAATGATCAAAGTAATAAATTGCGCGTTTTGCCTTATTATTGCGAGCAAAATAGTTGTTCGAAAATTTTTATTAATGAATAACCCTGTAGAAAAAATTTTTTGGGAGCGTGGCCACGTTTGCACCTACTTTTTTTCATAATATCACAAAAATGCGCAACTGTCGTAATGAAGTCTACGTGGGCCTGGCTAAAGTGGCGCCACATAACCTTGATCGAAAAAACTCCGTTATCCTTTTCCTTCCCCCAAATTTCTTGGATAGCAAATGATTTAGCTAAATACGTTTTGTGAGAAAATTCATTGATGTGCTGCAGTTAGTCAGCTACTGACTTAGTATTCATCTCTTCCTTTTTTTTCATTCCTAGACTCTTTTCACCCCGTAATGACCAATTCCACCCCCATGCATAGATAATGAAAGTTGCCAAGGAACATCCTAGTTCCGTTTGGTTATGACTTTGTTTCGAAAAGGAAGTCATTCTATCCTATTGGCATCGGAGAAAATCTTCTGAAACTCATGATTGTGTCTCAATTTAAGGTAGCAATTCATCTGGAAGGTTTATCGCAAATGCGCATTGCATTTGCAGTTATCATATGAGTTACTGTCGAACACCTTCTCCCATTCAAATCCTATTACTGGTAATAGTCCACTCAACCTCTGCCAATTTATTCTTCTGGAGATCATACCGGAAGCTGCGAAAATGCTTTGCGTGTGCATTAACGATTAATCTTCTGACACCCATCCATTTCCTGTTCTGCTTCAGCTTTGCAGAAATCACTCCTTTTCCACCAGATTACAAAGCACAATATTTTGCAAGATTATTTAGCCAACTCTAAGATTGAGTGTTACCAATTTAGGTTGGAACTGAAGACGTGCTACGTTGGTCACCGGTTGTTTGGTTGGTAGGCGTTTGTGTTGCGGGTGCATTCATGAATCTCATATTCTATTGTCGGAAAAAGTACCGAGAAAGGAAACGACGGCAACGAGACCAACAAGTAAGAGCTTACTTCTTGCAACGTCTGTGGTCATAGATCTGCTGCCGGTAAAGATTTTCACAATACCCTCCTCTGCATGTTCAGTGCTAATTGTGAGAAGAAGAAAAATTTGGCCAAATATTATATTTGGCAGGCCCTGGACGGGGTCCTTGCACATACATAGAATAACGCTATTGTATTAGATCGTACAAAGTGTGTGTTCCACGTGATAAATAAATAACTTCCTTAAAAAATTTCTCTTCATTTTTAGTTAAGTGGAATTTTGATATGCACATCTCACTCACAAGTATCTAACACAGTTTTTGAAATTTTTGAAATTTATTCAACTTATTTTTTGCCAAATTCCCAACTTGCGTTGTTGAAGAGCTAAAAGACCCCGAACTACCTTAGTATTACTGATGCTCCCGGAATTATCATAAATCTTAAAAGTCGTAAAGGAAGTATGGGAGGAATTTCATAAATTAAAGAAAGAAGTGGAGTGCCTCCAAAGATTTTCATTTATGTTTACCGTAATTTATGTCTATAAAGGCGAGACCAAAGATATCAGTGTCTTACCAAAAGCCTTTCATTCCTCCTGTACATTGACCAAAGAAGAAGAGACTTTGCTGAATTTTATAGTGTTTTTAGTGGAATATGAAAAAAGTTCAACAAAAATAATATAATAACCTAACAACATTGCAAACCTACTGTTAACTCGTAGGCTTCTTACGAACCCCATATGGTATCTGTATGTTCATGCTTTCTTCTCACTCTAATCTGCTTCGGCTGTCAGCCCTGCTACATAATTAATTTAATTACGCTTTCAATTTTTTCTATTAATTATTTTATTCTGCAATCAAAAAATGTTTAAGCTGATTTTTTAAAATCAATCATATAATACATAATTATAATTATAATTTCGTGTGATTTCGAGGCCCTAGATAGAAACTCGTATTGGAGATTTATACATTGATAATTGCGTATGTTATTACTGTCTTCTTTCAGCAAGAGCTGCTATTTTCGTTAGCGATTCCTCGTTCCTACCCATGTCTGGCACCTCCTCCACATCAAGGGTGCTGCCGATCTTCGCGAAATTCAATCTCCGGCCGAAGCTTGCCGTCGTATGAGGACGCCATCACTTACAAGTTGGAGGTCAGACTCCCTTTCTATTGAATTTGGTACTAAGTCTTCTCTTAGGGGATGAAGTTGATGGCCTTCTCAAAATTTTTAAAAGTAAAAGCATTGTTGAACCTCTCGCGAAAATTTCAAAAAAATATTTCTCACGGGTACATATTCGAATTTATGTTTTCAGGATAACTCGCTTCCACCAAATTATTCTGAAGCTGTTTCGATGCTGCACGCATCCACACAAGTGTCTACACAGACACAGACAAGCCGAACCACTCAAACAACAAACGGTCCCGAATGACCAACGGCCAGTGCTCCCCTTTAATTCACATTCCAAGATTATTTCTGTTAAGGAAAATTTTCTAGGCTTGTTCTTCCGAATTTTGTATTTATTTGTGCACATTTACCTCGAAATTGGTAGAAATTTGTCTTTTACCTTCACTTCACATCGATTCCAAACCCTCCGTAATTCCTCCTACAGTTTGTGTTCCCATCAGGGATATCCGTCGTGCATTCGTCTTGTACATAATATTCTTCTCTTATGTAATCACTACCAAGAAAAAGTGCACTTTGTTGAACTTTTCTTTTTTCCTTTGTTAACATCGACCGCAACACAAGTTGATGTCTGTTTCACTTCTGCCAACGGGTTTTTCTCTTGCAAATCAATAAAGAATTTTCGTTAATTCAAATATGACTACATTCTATCAAGGATATGTCTTTTTCGCCTTCTATGGATTGAGTACATCTTGTCTACACCCTTTAGCTACATTCTTGAACGCATTCAGCTAAGAAATCTGTAAAGATATTAGCTCGGAATACGCTAATGGCAAAAGCAATTTACGGTTCTAATTATCACAGGGTTTTTACCACATGAAAACGTCACAAATATTGAAGTAGAAATAAGTCTTGACGCCGCTATACATCAGCAGAGTTCGCAATGCACCTTTTTAAAAATCGACGATAATGGCAAAAACAGAAATTTCAGGATACAAGCCGCAATTAGGATTGCTTCAAAAGCAGACGTGCCAAAGAAATCCGCGTGCCATGAACGCATTCTTCCGCATGCCTAAACAGCTGCCAAATACTCAATTTGCACATCGCTTATCAATAAATAAACTCTAATCTCTCTATAGTAATTATTTAGTAAAGTTAATCGGTGCATATATTCATTAATAATAAACCGATCCCTTAAAGGCACCGTCCACCCAAAATGGAGGTTGGCGAGATTATGATGGCATACTAGTGTGGGCCCCCATACTAGACAAACCCCCAAGTTTCGCCGCAAAAGACTGCTTCTGAAGCGAGAAATCCGCTCCGGAAGTAACAAAAGTGGGCGGGCTGCCCCCGGTCGCCCCGCCCACTTGCATGCTTTATTTCTGTTGCATGCTTTATCTCTGTTGCCTGCGGTTGTTGCAAAGGGTTCTCGAAACAGAGATTTTTGGGGGTTTCGCGAATTTTCGACTCCATATCCGGAATGGGGCTTTCAGAAGGCCTGAAGGCGACAAAAACATTGAATTCGAGTTGGGTGGACCGCCGGGGGCGCAATGCACCTTTTTAAAAATCGACGATAATGGCAAAAACAGATAGAAATTTCAGGATACAAGCCGCACTTAGGATTGCTTCAAAAGCAGACGTGCCAAAGAAATCCGCGTGCCATGAACGCATTCATCCGCATGCCTAAACAGTTGCCAAATGCTCAATTTGCACATCGCTTATCAATAAAAAAACTCTAATCTCTCTATAGTAATTATTTAGTAAAGTTAATCGGTGCATATATTCATTAATAATAAACCGATCCCTTAAAGGCACCGTCCACCCAAAATGGAGGTTGGCGAGATTATGATGACATACTAGTGTGGGCCCCCATACTAGACAAACCCCCAAGTTTTGCCGCAAAAGACTGCTTCTGAAGCGAGAAATCCGCTCCGGAAGTAACAAAAGTGGGCGGGGTGCCCCCGGTCGCCCCGCCCACTTGCATGCTTTATCTCTGTTGCATGCTTTATCTCTGTTGCCTGCGGTTGTTGCAAAGGGTTCTCAAAACAGAGATTTTTGGGGGTTTCGCGAATTTTCGACTCCATATTCGGAATCAGGGCTTTCAGAAGGCCTGAAGGCGACAAAAACATTGAATTCGAGTTGGGTGGACCGCCGGGGGCGCCCCGCCCACTTTGTTACTTCCTTTCTCGCTTCAGAAGCAGTCTTTTGCGGCCAAGCTTGGAGGTTTGTCTAGTATGAGGGCCCACACTAGTATGCCATCATAATCTCGCCAACCTCTATTTTGGGTGGACGATGTCTTTAAGAGCTTTGCGGCTTTTGGTAGTTGAAGAGGTCAGTGAGTTTGAGGTCGGTTTCATATACGGTCTGCAAACCTACAGTCACCAGGGTTCGTAGTAATCCTCCAAAATGGTCAAAACTCGAAGAAGGTGCGGTTGTCAATCTAGACAAGTTGTATATCGGGCACAACCGTTACATAGCTGCCGCAAAAGTTGCGGGTTGCTCAACGCCGCCGAACTCGCAATGAACGTGACGACGAATCACGAAATCGACGTGAGCAGCATGCAGCCAGTGAACCATATTATATTGCCCAATTTTTCGTATAGGGTCTAAAAGAAGTAGAGTACTTGGGACAGATAGGACAGTTAGTAAGTACGAGGAAAAGGTAGCCTGTCTCGCGCTGCGCCTCGCCTGCGAGTGTATGACTCAGCTAATTTGGACATTAAGTTCGAAAGGTTCGTTATGATACATAGTTGGGACTACTGCTAAGTGTAGCAGATGGTGCAATGACACTATTGCACGCTACTGAGGTGATCAGGGGTAACAATACGCAAGGGATGTGTGTCATTACGCTTTTTCAGCGAAAATCAGGCATGGAGGCTATCAATTTATCGATTTTTTAGCGTCTTTGCTTAGCAATTTCAATTATGACCAGCCTAAAATGTTTGAAGGAACGCGGAATCCACACCAAACTTCAGAAATATGAACGTCGGAAGAGAAGTGCCTTTGCAAAAGGAGGAGAGGAACTTATAAGTGTAAAATTCTCGTCAATAAATGTAAAGTTAGATAATAGCCTTGGATGGAGATTAGGCAAAACATAAACTATCAACGGTCTAGTGAAATGTAACAAAGTGTTGTAGATAACAATAATACAAATGTGCAAATATGCCCCCCCCCCCTAACCCGCAGTATCGAATGATTTTTTTGGACAGATGGAAGGAAAACAGGTGCACAGTTGAACGGCAAAGCAACGAAAGTTATAATTCACAGATTGGCGCTGGTGGTGGCTATGGTCAACCAATAACAAGTATCAACTATGCCTCAACACTGAAGAACCGCACCGCTGATCCACTCGCCCGTCTCTGCTCCCGTGGCAGTCTGGGAGCCGATGAAAATAATAGGGTAAACGGTATAAAAAGAAAAAACAAGTGGGAAAATAAGTTGAAACATGAGACACAAATATAAAAATCTTATAAAACTATATGGACCCATTTTCTCAAAACAGGATATATTGCTTCTTTCCTTATACAAAACTTGGTAAAAACCTCACAAAATGGAAAGTCATCCTCCTGCTATGTGTCCAAATAATTGTCATGTCAAGTACATGTTTAACAAGTTTTACCAAGACTTTGTTCACGCTATCTATCAATATTTTAGGTTGTCCCAAAAGTGAACTCCATTTTTGGATAACTTGAGATGTTTTTGTTTTTTTGACAGATTTAGGGTACCATTCGGTAGAGCGCAGCAAGCTCTACAAAAAGACTACCAAAGTTCCATTTAATTCGTAACCTAGGTAAATGGAGCCAAAAATCAAAAGTTTTCAGCTACCTTAAAAAAATCGGATCTCCTTCCAGAAAATTCCTACGGTCTTCCAACTTGGTCATTATATAGTAGACACATAGTAGTACCCAAAAATGTATTTGAAGGATTTTTTCCGGAGCTAAAAATTGAGCAACAAATAGGGTCCCAAAAAACCAAAATGCCTCTTTTTCGGGTTTTCATGTAAAACTTGGTTTTCCACGATTATAGGATGAGGTAAGATAAGGGGATAAGGTATGCAGGGGTAAGGTTAAAATTATACTTAGTAAGGCTTGTAGTATAAAATGACATTTGTGGGAGGAGCTGGGGGCGGAGTTTGCCATTTCTGGAAAATTTTTGTTTCTCGCTTTCTATGCTCGAAAAAAATTCGGTAAAGGCATATTTGTGTACTACTACATGTCTACTTTATAATGATCAAGTTGGAGGTCGTGGATTCCTTGTCTTGGAATCAAAATTTTGCCACCTGGAAATCCAGTTTCCAGGTGGCAAAATTTTTTTCGATTTTGGTTTCAAACTTTACATGTAAGGAGACTTAGGCGGACCCTTAGCGGTCGTTTTGTAGAGTTTGATCTGCTCTGTCGAATGATACCCTAAATATACTAGAAAATCAAGAACAGCTCGAGTTATTTAAAAAGAGTTTACTTTTGGGACAACCTAATAAGTTCAATCTGTCTTTCATTCGATAATGACCTAATTGTTAGCCAAGTGTTCCATGAATGAGCACACTTTGAAAATGAAGTTCTGTGTTCGATGAACACAAGTTTCTCCAAAACAGAAAAGTGGGCTATTGCTCTATCGTGTAAACAACGAACCAGTTGACAACCAGATATTTCAAGCCATCTTTGTATTCTTTCCCGACTACATTCGCATGGCGGAAACAATGTGAAGAGCGGGATTTCTTCATCACTGCTAAAAGCACCAAGATGTTTAGTGAACGGCTAAAACTGCTTTGCATTTAAAGAAGACCCTGAACTGCCGATGGTCGCGATCGCCTGTACCTCAGGCTCACCAATTTGCAACTGCTAGTGTGATGAGCACAATAAGGTGCCCTATCGCGCGACGCCATGTCGTTACGTGGGCACAGGTGCAGTTTGATCGGTGCTTCCTGATTTTGGTAATGTTCATAGAATGTTACGGTGCCATTCGGCTTGAGCAGTAGTCTTTAAAAAAATGTTTCTGAGCGGCGCAAATATTGTTTTAATAACTGCTCAAAGTCCCCTCATCGTGGAAGCTCTGTATACTGAAGGTAACCACTGTTGGCAATTTATCCAGCTTCAACATTCACAAGTTATCAGCTGAACCAAAATGATGCAAACACCCAAAGTGGCGTACTACTAGCTAGCTTATAGGAGGTGAGTTGTTGTAGAAAGTCAATCAAATATGAATTGGTCGGGCACATTTTAACAATTTGCGAAGGTAGAAAAAATTTCAGTGGAGAATCACTATAAAATTAAGAATTGTCTTATACCCTTGCACCGGTTGCATTCTTTTATTACTAGCCCTTCACGTGTGCGAATCAGAAGAAATCTGGTGGTTTACAGAGGAAATGATGTTGATAGCAAAGATAAGTACAAGTGACACCGTTACTTACATTTTGCGCACATAGTCATGTCCTAGGTTAGCGAAATAAAATCAGAAGCATAAGCAAATACAGTTATGACAGTGGAATGTGAAAATTTTCGGCGGTCGGCGATGTCGGCGAATTCGCCAAAATCGCCGAAAAACGCAAAGTCGCCGACTTCGCCGACATCGCCGAGAATTTTCACATTCCAAAGTCATAACTATCTGACGAACAATGCAGATAAAGATCTGCGCTAAGCATGGT